GACTACAATCAATGTTTCGAGACAAGCGGAGACGGCTGCCAATCGTGTCAGGACGACTATACTACGACAAAACGTGGCTCACCCAAGAAATCTGGCAAAAAGAGGAACAAAAAGAACGAACTCATTCCTAACGAGCTTGCCCACGATTGTGGGTATGCGTCAGGTGGCGGAGTTACAAACGGCGGATGCTGTGAAACGTTGTCAGGTTCATCTTCTCTAATGAGTTCTCCGGAAGGTTCTGAAGTGGCATGTTCCGAAGGATTTTGTAACCATGAGAGAGGTGACTGTATAGATATTGCCAAAAATGATAAATCTTCATGCACTGGTTTCACTTTGTCACTTCAAGAGATGTTGGTAAGTATATTTATAAAAACATAATTTAATTAATGCTCTTATAGCCATGCTCTAGTCTGTCTCTGTCAAATAATCTTAACTCTTACAAATGTAAATATAAAAGTTTGGTAGAAGATGGTTGTTTGTAAGAAGATATCTCCAGAATGGGTTAACAGGACTTGCTTACTTGTATAACACTCTGGAAGTATTATTCAGATTTTATTTACTAAAGCTTGTGTATAACTTCTACTGTTTGTTACTAAACTGATTAATTTTAAAAATTTCTCTCTGTACAGGACACATGTTCGTCGGATGAGGAACACGACACCAGTTATATACCAATAGAAGAGGTCCTAGAATTTAAATCACGTAGGAACATAACGGAAAAAAGACAAGAGCTCAGGCAGAATTTACGTCAGAAATTCGCCCAGCTCTGTGTGAATCCAACAAACAATCTTATAACACAGAAACTGGATAAGCAATCTGTGTAACACCAAACACATTCAAACTGCACATTGTGAAACATTTGTATATCAAATACAATGATGTAAATCTGTAATCGCTTCTAAACCAGTAGATAATACAATAAATGTGTGTCACATCCAGAAATTCATAAATACCCGATAAATAGAAATACATAAATTGTTCTAATATTTCCGTTGTCTGTTACAACTTTGAGCATGTGTGCATGCTATGTTAATCATAGGTCGAAATAAAACAATTTGAATATTTTATAATATTTTTATAATTTATCACATAAGACACTGTTTAATTATATTTATTCTGAAATTATAATCAAAGGAAATCATGTTAAATGTTATAGATTATGCTAATGATGAGATTAGCAGAATCTGGTTTTGTTTACATTTGATAAAAACATTGGTGCTTATAGAAGGTACAACGCTAGGCTCTATGCAAGTCATCTAGACGGGAAAGTAAAAATTAGTCTTCATAGAAACAAGTGCATGTTTGAATGAATTTATGATATTAATCGACTGGATCAACCAGCATTTAACAAATGTTTACAATTAAAAACCTTAGAATGCTTTTTATTGAAATATAGTAGCATTTTTAATCAAATTATATAATTTTCAATTCTTTATGTGATTACATAATGAACATTGAATTTATTTTAGCTCTTTGTTATGTAGCTTCAAATCACGATCAAAAGGTCTTCAGTTGTCCTCATTGTCGGGATTACTGCAGTAAAGTTTGTAACACAGTTTTAATATATTATACCTCTGAACAAGTTCTTTTATTATTCAAGAAACATTCATATTTGTGCAATACAAAGAGTAGCATTGGTGCCACCAAATCCAAATGAATTTTTTAGTGCAACTCTTCTTTCTGTGATCCATTTTTCAGGTGCTTTTGCAACATAGTGCAATTCATCAACAGGGTTTTCTAAGTTCAATGTTGGCGGTATAACACCATGATAACAAGCCAAGATAGTAAATACAGCCTCTAAATTCCCAGCGGCTCCGAGAAGATGCCCATGAGCTCCTTTAGTAGAAGATATAGATATTTTAGAACTGTGTTCACCAAAAAGTTTCTTTATAGCTGTTGATTCAATGCCATCACCAATTGGTGTGGATGTGGCATGTGCATTAACATAGGTGATTTCATTTTTTGTAATATTAGCATCTTGCAGTGCTCTGCCCATTGATAACATTGCACCACTTCCATCCTCTCTGGGGGCTGTTATATGTGATCCATCACCAGACAATCCATAACCTAAAATTTCAGCATATATTTTAGCATTTCTTTTTAATGCATGCTCATACTCTTCCAAGACTAACACTGCTGCTCCTTCTCCCATGACGAAACCATCACGCTTTTGGTCAAAAGGCCTAGAAGCTTTTTCGGGTTCATCATTGAATGATGTGCTTAGTGCCCGCAAACGACAAAAACCAGCAATGGCCAAAGGACTTATGCAGGATTCAGCTCCACCACACACCATAACATCAGCATCACCATATTTAATGAACCTATATGCATCTCCTATTGAATGTGCGCCAGTGGCACAAGCTGTAGACACAGAATGATTCGGCCCACGAAAACCATATTTTATACTTATTTGACCAGCTGCCATATTTGGTAAGATTCTTGGAACAAAAAAAGGGCTTACTTTATTGTATCCTATTTTTAATGCCTCATTTGTATCACAAACATCCTTCAGATCTATCATACCCATTCCTAATGCTACTCCTGTAAATTCTTTCTCACTATCTGTTTCAGGAAACCATTGAGAATCATCTAACGCTTCTGCTGTAGCTACAAGTGCCAGACATGTAGCTGGTGCCATTGATTTTAAATTAGCCTTTGACAATGTTTTTTGGATATTTTCATCCTGTTTTGAAATCAACCCAGCTATTCTACAAGGTAGTTTTTTGTAACCTTCATCCTGTAGACCAACAATACCACAATGTCCTTTCAATAGATTGTCCCAAACCAAATTGGTTCCAGTACCAATAGGAGAAACGACTCCTAAACCGGAAATTACAACACGCCTTTGGGACTGAAATTTTGATAAGTACCTAACTTGCTGCACTAATTTCATTGTAATGATTGAAAATTCAATAAATGCTGCGATTTAAATTCATTTGTTGATAGATAATTGAGACTTCCAGATAACCTTTTCTTGAAAAAATGGAAACTTAATAAATAGGAACCTAATGTAGGAATTCGATTAATATGTATCACAGTGGAAACATTTAATACAAGTTTAGTTAGGTTATAAGATTTTTATTTGTGTTTTGGTTTGGTCTTGTCAACCAAATGTCGTCGCTCAAAATAAAAACAGGCAAAGGCAACTTTGGTCAATAATACTATTTACTCAACAGTTGAAGATATATGTTCATTTAGTTAAATACTGGTGTAATATCTGTCATAGTCCAGTATGCTTTAATCGTTTTCGATTTTGTCGTTTTTAATTAGTTAAAGTTTTAAAAACAATACTAAAATTACCTTACACATATTCTGAATAAACGGATTTTAAGATTTCAATAATAATGTTATGTCACTGTCAAATTAGATTTGATTTGTTTTGTAAATGTAACTTTGTTGGCGACTTAAACTTTCACTAATTAGCGAAAATTTCAAAATGAAAACTAGAATCTGTTAACCCTTTGAAGATGTATTACCTATTACTCGAAAAAACATAATGGCTTTCAATAGTTTTTTCCGTGATAACATTAAAGTTTTAACATCGATATTAGTAATCGTAATTGGTGTTTTGTTTTACAAAAAATATGGAGAGCTACAAAATTTTTCTACTGAGCAGAGAAGTCATCGATTGGTCTTCACCCAAGAACAGCTGAGTCAGTATGATGGACTTGCTCATGATAAGCTTTATTTGGCTGTTCTTGGACAAGTCTTTGATGTGTCAGATGGTAGAAAACATTATGAAAAAGGCTCCTCTTATAACTATTTTATTGGTTTGTAATTCTTTTCACAAGGTATTTCTTATATTCATCATATTTAATCTGAATTACCTTTATTGGTAAATCTTCAAATAATTTTGACTAGATATTATTGAAAAAATATGTAATAACAGCAAACATTTTAGGTAAGGATGGGTCAAGAGCACTTGTTACTGGGAATTTTAAGGATGAGAGCTCTATAAAAGATCATGTTTTAGATTTGTCTTGTAATGACTTAAATACATTATTAAATTGGCGACAAACTTACAGAAAAAAGTATAAGTTTGTAGGTAAGTTATTTAATATTGATTGAATATTTTATAAGTCATTAATATTGTACTTTTTTAATCTATTATTTTTTAATTCAGGATTTTTAAATGAAAGGTACTATGATGAATATGGTTCAGAAACAAATTACTTGAAACAATTCAAAAGTAAATTAAAAGAATGTAAGACAGAAAAAATCAAGCAGGAGAAAGAAAATCTCAAATACCCTCCGTGCAACATTTCTTGGAATGAAGAAGAGGGTTCACGAGTGTGGTGCACTAAAACAAGGTTATTTAGAGTTTTTCTACAATCAAAATTAAAGCATATTAACTTTACATAAAAATATTGCAAAATTGTACTTAATTGTGAAATAGCCATTTGTTTGCACATTTAAAAACCTTTTCTAACTTTAAAGTTTAATAATACTGCAGATTTTATATAAATCTATAACTTACTAATCAAAATAAAAGAAGATTATTAAGTATAGAGTAGATTGTAGTCTAAGTAAACTATTTATTTAATTGTTTATATAGAAAATTGAATTTTTTCACCGATGTGTTACAGCGGTGGTATTGTAAGAAACTGGGTGGGAGTCCCGAGGCAACTCTTCACACCTGGTGAAGAAAAACCACATTGTGTTTGTGTCAACCCTGACATGGACACTGATAGTACAAAACTATTGAAGAAATATACTGATTGCCCTGATACCTCGACAATATGCAATATATTGAATGTCTAAATATTGCATTTCCATGTTCTCATTTAGCTATAAAATATCTAAAAACTAATACTACTAAGGTTTTTATTATATATTTTTTACAAAAGTAAGTTTTAAAATACATGTATTATTAAGGTTTTTGTTATTTTTCTGACCACCAAGTAATAAAGATGTATCACAATTTGACAAAATACTCTTTGTTGTTAAATAGAAATGTTAAGTGGGCATTTCATTTTACATTTCCATTGCTTCTTTTTTATATGCATCAGTACACAAAATGATTATCGGTGTTTATAATATCCCAATCTGCCCATCAAGATTTTTTTCCCTATGAGCTGATCAATGGGCCAACAGGCCCATTAAGAAATATCCTTTACTAGATTTGAATGAAAAATTCTTAATCAAGTACCTAATTTACTTCTCATATATTTAATAGTTATCAAAATAGATTATTTGTGGATAAGAAATAAAACTAGTTTATGTTTACATAACATGATCAGATTACAAAAAAATCTACACATTACAACTTACATTGCTTTTAGTAAATATGTACTAAGAAATAATGGTATGCCTATAAATGAGGCGAATCTTAAAATTATAATCAGTTCATAAGGTGGGTCCATCTTCAATGGTCTTACTTTCGGAATGAATAACTTCATCCAGATCAAGACATTCAATGGTTTTAAGAAATACTTGCATTGGTATTTTCTTTCTATTCAAAAATGTTTTATTGCCCAGAAGCTTTTTAATCTTTGCACGTCGTCTTTTTATTTTCTCCTTGGTGTAATGACTGCCTAATTGAAATGTTAGTAATCTTTTAACTTTTCTACCATGCATATTAGTCTCTGAACCAGAGGCATTAACTTTTGGCTCCTCATAAATTGTCTCTAATGTCTGTGATAATGTTTTAACTTTTTTGTTAAGATATAAAGCCTCAATTTCTTTTTGATTTGCATCTTCTTTAATATTACGTTTCCTTGGTCTTATACTAACTCGGCGGTTAGACATTTTAGGTGCCTCAATTGCCAATGACTTTCGCTTCCTTAAGACACGTGATGTTGTGGCTGTTAAATTTTCAT